GTACACTGTACATAATTATGGTACATGTGAATCAAGACCAGGGAGTCGTAAAAGCCCTGCGTGCTGGGCTTTTACGACTCCCTGATCCAAAGACTCCATAACCAAATAAAATGTGAATATGAATCTGTAAAAATCGATCTCGCAAATTTTTTTGTAGCCTGATCATGCTTTTTTTTTTTTTTGGTTTATATTATATTTTTTATACAGTACATCATTGTACAGAAACAGAAAATAATGCACCCATTTTGATATTCCAGGGGATGGCCGGCCCACGTGCACGCCTGGTAAAGAGAATAAAATAGAGAAAAGAAAAGACGGATATTTCACAGGAAGTACATGTACATCAGGGAGTCGTAAAGGGTATTTTACGACTCCCTGATGTACATTTAGAAAAGCGATCCTGTCAGCTTTTCTATTATTGTGTTCACATGGCAAGAAAAACGACACCGCTATGCTACGTAAGTTTCTACGTAAGGTGCTCGGTATTTCACTTAGGCTACGTAAGTCTCTACGTAAGGTGCTCGGTATTAGATCTACCAACGCGTGGTAGCCGTGTGCTGTGCACGTGCACGGCAGACATTGTGTTCAGTGCATGCAGTCCGCGGATCCGTGTTCGAACGTTCGGATATGTGCATGCGCGAGGAACTAATAGTTTCTTCTTTGGAACTGCTTCTTGCATGAGCTGTTTCGGATATTTCGTCTCATGGCCTGGCTTATTTCGTTTCGGCGCTGCTGAGACCTCCTTTCGCGGAATTTTACTCAATAGAGAGGTTAAGTTTCACGTAAAAGTCTTACGTCCGTGAACTTTTACGTCAAAAAGTGAAAAAACTCACGTAAAATTTGACGTGTTTTACGTGAGTTGACTGTCCCGCGCGTAAGTTCATAACGTGAGTTTTTGGACGTTTCGCTTGGTTATCCCGACCGAATTTGTGTGAGTTTCCGGAATTTTATGGAAATTTATCGAGTTTGTTGGAAGATTTGATATTTGTGCGAACTAAACCCGAATCCTGCAAGGCAAAATTTCACGTCACGTCGCACGTATAACTTAACCTCTAAAAATTACACGTAAGGCCAAACTAAAGAAGGTGTGTGGTTCGACTCACCCGACCGACCGTACAATTTCAGCCCGACCGTAACTTTTTTTTTTTTTTTTTTTTTTTTTTTTTTTTTTTTTTGTCTGGCACCTATGAATTCAGGGGATGGCCCACGCCTGGTAAAAAGAAAAAGAAAAAAAGAAATCATATTAACAAAGAAAACTAAAGAAAAAAGAATGTTTGGCACCTATGAATTCAGGGGATGGCCCACGCCTGGTAAAAAAGAAAAAGAAAAAAAAAGAAATCATAACAAAGAAAACTAACTAATAGCGAAAACAATACAGCCATATAACAAGAGGTGAGGGTTAACCCAGACGACACTCAGCATTCACTAGAGCTGAGGGGCACTCCAGCTGCTGATCCAAAGGTGCTCGCCTGGATCGATGACCTCTTAAGCTTGCAATCGCCGATCTGATGAGGGCAAACCCTAGGCGGCAACGAAGGTGAGCCATCACCATGGAGAACGGTTCCTTCCGCTTCTCAGCCAGCATTGATGCAATGCGCTTGAGGAAAGCAGAGGCAGCCTTGCCTTGACCACCGGAGGCACAAAACACCAAGGGGACGAACGATGCCTTCTCTACTTCCCTAACACGCTCTTCATAGTGTCGCCGTTTCTCCTTCTCGTGCTTAGTGAACGTGCTGTTGAGGGAGGGAGCGGTGTTCGATCGGACAAAAGGGTTAAATACCCGGACATCAAAGAATGTCCTCTCGAAACGGCCGCCCCACACCCCGCTGGCAGCAACATCTAGGCGGGCGCCATCCTCGCTGATTGCAGTACGATACCTCATCCGTTCCCCGGAAAGTGGCTGGAGAGACGGCTCCACACTTACGTCATGTGCGACGCGTGAAAGCAGTGAGGCGGTGATGTCTCGCAGCTCGTTATGCCGGAGTGACGGATACCCTCCAATAGGGCACGACAGGGCATGCGCGGTGCTGAATGCCTGACCACAGACGCAGGTGGACGGCAGCATTGGGGGGACCCAGCCATAGCGAACATGGATGGCGTCGCGAAAGCCAGCCTTGCTGAGGGAAAAGCCGTGGACTTTCAGTGGCCGGCACGTGAGCCAATTGGAGGCCCCCTTCAGCGAAGCAAGCTCCACACAACGCTGCAATTCCTGTGAAGCGGCTGAGACGACATCCTTGGCGATGGTTGACTCCTTATTCCGCTGTCGGCTGCGGACTTCGGACTTCCTGTGCAGCGTAAGCTGCGTGACGTCGGGCAGGTAGGACATGCCAGAGAGGATTCCCTCAACCAGCGTTTGGGTGATGTGGCAGGATGAGTGGAACTGTTCTGCTAACGAAGAGACGATGATTAGTCCCAGGCCACCCAAACGACATGGTAGAGCCAGGATCTTCCGTTCGGCAGAGCCTGGAGAGGGGCGACCGAGGAGGGCTGGGAGTAGCAGGTGTACAACCGCCTGCTCCAAGGGCTCCAGCAGGGTAGCTGTGTTGGGTACTGTCCTGGCAACAAATGCCCAGCGATGCCGTAGACCGTGCGTAAAGGTGGAATACGCTGCATGCGGCTGGGAGTGGGCAAATGTAGACAGCTTGTCAACCTCCTTGCACCATGTGTTCACCTTGCCCGTGACATAAGCCGCTACAAATTCCGGGGTGCCGAGTGCTGCACCTAGATGTCGGTACCCATCTGAGCGGACTTGGATACGTGTGTCAGCGAACAATTCAGTGGCACGCTCGAGATGTGCAGGCTTCACTAGTAGTACGGATTTCTCCGGGTTGAGGAAGTATCCATAGGCCTCACCGCGCTGTGATAGGATGTCCCACCAGTGGCGAAGTGGCAGCAGTGTTGACGCTGCTGTAGCGTCATCGGCGTACCAACTCTGGGTGGCTCCACTGCTACGGCATTCTTCAATGAGGGGTAACTTTTTTTCGGCGGGCTGTCGTGTGACTGACGTACGTGGACTGAACACGTCCACGTCTATACGTCTACGTGCTGTGCGGCGTGAGTCTGCGGACGCAGGCGGCTCCTTTTGGACTTGACTTGTAGTTGTACTGCAGTGCAGTGCAGTGAGTGGTACGACTGCTGCCTTGTGCTGGTAGTAGAGTCTACTCGATACGCGTATACAGTGTATTTACATGTACTAAAAAATATATTAAAAAAAAAAATCCGCCCGCCCGCCCGTAAAAAAAATGTCCATGTTAGTCGAACCACACACCTTCTTTAGTTTGGCCTAACGTGAGATTTGCACCGCGTTTTGAAAAAAGGGCAAAAAACGTGTAACTTAACCTCTCTAATGACAGGTGAGTTGACCAGTTGCCTTTGATTCATTTGCTTGTGTTGACTCTTTCATTCAGGAAAAGTGTGCTGATTTTGGGGCGGAATGCAATAAATAATGGAAAAGTTGACAGGATCTCTTTTCTAAATTTTGCTTTTCTGTTGCCGAGGCCTCCTTTTACGGAATACTCGATGACAGGTGATCTCTAAGTTGACCGGTTTCCTTCGATTCGTTTGCTTATGTTCACCCTTTCATTTACGGAAACGTGTGCTGATTTTATTCGGATTTCGATCCATTTTTATCTCTTTGCCCTTGTCTACAGTGTGCGAAGAACGCGAGTTCACCTTCTTGACGGTAAGGCTTATGTTAGATGTGTTGTCGAAATACTCATATTCATTGTACATTGGTACGTTACAAGTAAGGTACTGGTCAGTGGCATACTATCGTTGGCAGTTCCCAATCTGGAGGGAAAGGTTCAAGTACCAATTGACCGAGTTTGCAAAATAAATTCGCATATCAGGGAAAATCTCTATTGTGAAGAGATTCAGTAACTTGTTTGTTTCATACGAAACAATCCAATCGGTGCAGTCTCGTCTCGTGAAAATCTCGTACTTGTAAGTTATGATTGGATTTGTTTACTCGAGTCTGGGCTGTTTGATTTCCCCAAATAAAGTTTCGTGCCGCCAAAGCAAGAATTACGATCTGCAATCCGTTTGTAGTGCCTGTAAGAATGTGGAGTAGATGGTACTTTCTCTGTTGCTGTTTCAGTTGCCGTGATGTTGCTAAAGAAAGGTTCAGTAGAGAGGTTCTTCAAAACGAAAATTCGAACGAAGTTTCGCGACAGTTCTTGCGAAAGTGTGTGCGAATTTTTGCACGAACTTTGCGTTCTGCACATTTTCGTAGTTTGCGCGCGCCAAGTGCACGTACCACGCCATTTTCCTACGACAGTTCATTTCGCGTTCCCTGCAAGTTTCGCGTCCAAAGGTGCGAAGTCTCGCACTTCATGATGTAGAGCGAAAGTTTGTACGCATTTTCGTTTGCAGAACCTCTCTAGTGACTCAACTGTTTCATACCACACGAGTCAATCTATTCGTATGTCTATTGGAGAAATAATTGTATTCACTGGTTATAAAATAGGTTAAGACAAACTCACAGAATAAATACCATCGGTCCCTTGGTGTTCGTCCTAAAGAGGTTCGACTGGATATCATTCATACTCACCAAAAGATGTGTAAAATTTTATTATTGTTGAGTGCCTTGTTTATCTCTCAGTACCTCCAACCATAGCCTTGCCCCTTTTATCCTCAGGATCAGTGTAGTTGTTGGAACGAGGTTTTGGACTCGGCAATTTATTTGTTTACATTTTAAGACATGTTTATTGTTTCTCCTTTGCTGTGTTGTTTTAGAAAATCGTGGACTAACAGTTTCAAGTCATTGAACTACTTCCAAAAGTTGTATCGGCATCAACAGGATTACCATTTCAGTGCAATATGATGCAGGATGACCTTATCACGATAACCCATGATTATAAACCATTATAAACAAAGAATCAACAAAAACATCTGCGACACGCACCTGGCTACATTTCTCAAATAAATTTGATCGAGGGTGGGAAAATCTGAAATATCTGAAAGGCAAGACCATTTTATGACAGGGTCATGAAATTCTGCAA